CAAATGACTACATCTGAAAACATTTTAAATTCCTTCATCAATGTTAATGGGTAATTCATGTACATTTGTGTATCTAGTGGTTTAATTCCTTTGCTATGTGCTCGCTAGGCTAAAACTAACTAAAAATCTAACTATTATATCAGGTTAACAAGGACTAATAACTAAGTTACCTCAGTTTGGTCTCTGCTGAAGAGCTTAATATTGCTGCTGTAAACAGTGCGCAAAACACTTGATTAAACTAAATGCAGACCAGAGGCTTTGCACTGGGTCTAAAAAAATAAATGCATGAAGTGTGATATTTTCCCTGTAAGGCTTCAGTCTAACTGGCAGCTGGCAGCAGGAAATAGCAGCCAATTGGTCAGTGGAGGCTGCTAGTTGATCAGTGGCAGCTGCCAACTGTCCAGTCACATGTATTCTTGTCGCATGTGAGGAGCACACCAGCACGAATTAATAACAGCTTATAATTCCAACCACAAAAGTTGCCATATAAAACTCAAGTGGCTAGCCAGCTCGCAGTAAGGGCTAACAGCATTAATCTACCTGGCGACAGTTAACAATGGCTGGCTATCGTTACCATTTGTCCTTCATGTTCATCATAATTTACGGGAAACTGCTTCTGTGTTCTGTTCAAAGAATATAAAAATGCAAATATATAAATGTAACTTACATCAACAATTTAATTTAACCCAGCAGACCAGAATAAGGTTTGTATGTCTTTTTATGTATTCAGCAAATATAAATTTAGTAGGACATGCACTGCTTTTGGGAAAAAAGAAACAAACCTAAAACAAAATAAACAGTCCTAAGACCGCTGGCTTCCAAGGTGCATTTTTAGGTAAAATGTTTGGACAATTTAAAAAAGAAATACCATAAGACTACATTAGGCATACCTCTTAATTAGCATAATCAAGGATTGGACAAAAAACCTGGATGTATTATGTATTTCAGATTTTCTTCATTAACAAAGTTACACAATATGCAAAAAACACAAAAAATGTCCTCATTCAAATACTGTAAATATATGAGGTCAGAGACATGTCACTCAGAAAACTTATTTTTATTTTATTTCATATTTAACATCAAGTCTAAGTAAAACATCTTATGATCCTTAATTCCCATGGATCTCTACATTTTACTCAATTTATACAGTACTGTGAAACAGTGTAAGGCACCTAAGCACATTATTTAAAGCCATTTATCTTGGCAATAAGTGTTTTCACTTGTGAAAAAGTATCACAGTGACCCCTTCCACTTCTTAGATCATCACTTTCAGTCTTTCACACTCTCCCTCCCTGCTCTTTCTGTGTACATCACCCATTAATGTTCTTCCTTCACTCACTGCAACCTGCACTCCATCCCTCCCTTGACCCTTGTTTCAACTATCCTAACTACCTGTCTTGTTTTCTTCTCTCTGCATGGATACAGCTACAGATACTGTCCTTTCTCCACCCTCTGCTTCAATTAACTTTCTGTGCCCTCTCTCCTCCAGGCCAGCAAGATCTTCCCCACTTGCCCACTGGAAGACAGGTGTCCTGTGCAGCAACCGGAGAGTACTAAGAGTGACTGAGAGAATGTGAGGAAATCCCACTTGACTCTCATCAGTGCTCCTACCAATCTCTCCTTTCAAAGTTCTTGTTCAAAGTAACTGCTGTAAAGTCATTTTTCTACAGAAGGAAGCTGAAAGCATCAGCACCTGACCCACACAAGCTCTTCAACATTTTCTCTTCCCTCCTCAGCCATCCCTCTCCTGCACAGCCTACTTCTGTCTCTTTCTTTGAGGAGAGGTTTAATAGAATCCACTAGTCCTTTTCTTCTGTCTCCACTCCTCCAATCGGTCCTCATCCTCTTGCTCTTAATGCACTAATCTGTTTTTCTTCTCTTTACACAGATGACATACTATTGCTACTGACATCCAGCAATGCAACCACCTGCCCATTCAAACCTCATATACCTGGCTGCTCATAGGGGCTTGGACCTGGATTTTTCTGTAAAGCTGCTTTGGGATAACACTTGTTGTAAAAAGCACTATATAATTAAACTTTGACTTGCCCACTGGACTCCATCCCATCCACACTGCTCCAGTCAATCTCCCTGGACCTACTTCCCTTCATCACTTCCATCATAAACAGCTCCTTGAAACCAGGTCATGTTCCATCTGTGTTCAAGACTGCCAGGGTGGTAACCATCCTGAAGGAGCCTACGCTTGACAGCTCCCATATCAGCAGTTACTGACTACTACCACTTTTTTCTTGCAGTCTATAAACTGTCTTTTTCAAAACCAGCTCCAGAACCCCAAACAGTCTGGCATCAAACTGGTGCCCTCTACAAAAACTGCCCTCATAGTAGTGACTGAGAAGTTTTAGGAAGCAAGATCAGCCAAACTGTCATCAGTTCTGATCCTTTTTGTCTTCTCTGCAGCCTTCATCATGGTAAAGCACAAGATCCTCCTGTCTGTCCTCACCAACCTTGGAATCATTGGCTTTGCACGGAAGTGGTTCAAGTCGTATCTGGAAGGATGCTCTTATCAGGTAACATGAAGAGTATTGACATCCGCTCCACGCAGACTTTTCACCAGTGTCCCGCAAGGCTCAGTGCTGGGTCCTCTTCTGTTTTCACGTTACACTCGTTCTTGCTTGTCTTCCTAAGTTGCTTTATCTTCCTAAGTTTATTTATGTTACACAACTGCTGAGTTCCCTTCATTAGCTTCCTGTAGCTGACCACATCAAATTTAAAATCCTGAGGCTTGCCCACAAAGTCAAAAATGGACCAGCATCTCCCTTCCTGATGCCAATGGTCAAAACCTGATCTGTACCCTTGAGCTCTTTGATCTTCAATAAGGTTACACTTCAAGACATGTGGAAGACAAGCATTAATACTCTTCTCTGTTCTGGCAAACAAGGTGGTGCAGCAAAATTCCACTGGCTATCTGAACAGCAGAGTCCCTCACTGTCTTCGAACACTGACTGAAGACCCATCACTTTGTGAAACACTTAAATTAACACTTACCTAGCACTTATTGAAATGTATTGCGTTGCCTTTATGCAACGTCTTAATTCTGTGTTTTCTATCTTTCTTTCTAGGTGTCAGCACTAGCTTTTGTGTTTTTAGCACAAAGGCGCTCTGAACTGTAACTTACTTGTACTAGCCGAATATAGTAGTCAACAGAGCACTTGTGTAAGTCCCTCTGAATAAGAGTGTCCACTGAATGCCTTTAATGTAAATGTAAAAACATCACATATCATCAGAACATATAACCATAAATAAAGTAAAAATGGACAAGATTTTTAAAGTAGATATTTTGTAAGCTAGTTTGAAAAAGTTCATGGACCCCAAAAGATTAAATCTAATTTTATAAGGTGCCTAAAACTTTTACATACTGTAAGTATCAAATACAGATAACTGAAAATCGCACAATTCCTATGAGTAGTACAACTTTCTTACATGCATCGTTGACTGAAAATCAATAGAACAAAAATAAAATGTATTAGAATTCTGTGGGACAATCAGGATAAATGTTAATAATATTCACAAAATTTAGTTGAATCATCATATACAAACAATTATTTCTATGTTTTATTTTAAAAATTGTAGAAATGAGTGTCACCTTTTGGTACTCTTTCTGTGATACAATGAAGGTCAAATTTCTGCAGTGATTTTCAAACTGCTTACAGTAGTAACGTTGTTTGGGGCTAGGGCTAATGGTTGCCTGATGTTAGCTGTTTTACACACAGAAATTTCCAACAGGACTGTGCAATGCAGCCACGAGTAACGCCAAAAGAAGCACACCTATACATCAAAAACCAGCTGGTTAGTCTGCCTGTCTATATATCTATGTATATATCTATGTATCTATATTATGAGCCTCTCCTGCAGCTGACGTTTCCCATTCCCATTAATCGTATAACCTACATAGTTAAACTCACGATTGTGGCTGAAATAACATTACATAACAAAGCTATATATATATATATATATATATATATATATATATATATATATATATATATATATATATATATATATATATATAAAGGTTATCATTAAGGGCTAGCGCTAACGTTAACCTCGCTCTTTTACACATAACGTTAGATGTTACTGAATTGTCTAACAGGACTGTACAATGTAGCCACCAGTAACGCCGCTAGTAACGATAGCATACATGCACACCACTGTAAGACTAGCTAGCTTCCTAGCTTTATCTCCCTCAGTAACATTCAAACCAGCTAATAAGGCACTTAACGTAACTTGAATGAAGTAGAAGCTTTACCGTTATAACTCCAGCTAGGCGCTCTCCGCCTGGATAGCAGTCACCAAAGGAAAGGGCACAACTTGGCTCCTATTCGCTGAGAGGGAGAGGAGACACTGTACTCGAAAGCTTGCATAGCGCGGAAAAGATCCGCGTTCGGATCATGAGAGACAGAGCGCTGCGAATCACGACAGGGGACAGGAAACAACTGAGGCTCAACGATCTTTTTGCGTTTGTGGAGCGCTGCTAATTAACATTTCAGTCAAGTCACAATAAACCTGGAAACTTTACATGCACACGTTTACTTTTGATGCAGCAGAACACCGTATTAGCGTGGTCTCCTTGGAATAGAACCAGGTGCATTAACAATTTAATAGTGGGATTCTGTCGAGTATATTTGTTCATTCACACACAGACACTCACACACTCAAACATATATACTTTTACTTTCCAAGATTAAAGTCGAGTATTGAAAAACAACGGCTGTATTTCAAAAGTGACCACGTTATAAAGCTGTTTTCTTATTTACACTAAGATTTGTTGCACTGAAAACTTCTCTTCAGCAGCTGAAGTAAATGCCTTCAGAGAGGGAGGATCTTCACTGAGGGCACATTTAGCGCCTCGTGAGTCTTGTTTACCGCTTACTTTCCGAACTCTGGGGCGGAAACTACTCGCGCCCAAGCGGACCAACCAATAAGCGACCTCGTAGCAAAGGACGTAAACTAAACCACACCCATTCTGCTTCCAACACTCGTACACCGTCCAGCCCCGTCTACGAGTTCAGAGTACTTCGCGGTCGGTCATAGTTCTGTGGGCTTCTCTGAGGTATTAGCAACTGGAGATATCGTGGAAGAAGGAGAACCATTAGCTTCAGCCCTCTCACTTTTAATTACTTCATTCACTCTTTAGCTCAGCAGGCTTAGCGAGGTATTGCTGGAGCCTCTCAGGACCTCCTGATGAGCGAAACTGGTTGAACATGAGCTGGAAATTGGAGAGTGAACATCCACATCAGCTGGAGTCTCTCAGTACTGATGGTAAGTTCGAAGTATCAGAGTTAAAGCTCTGTTCTGTCGGTAGGCTTTTGGGGTTTGGTTGCAGGCGACGTGTCTGGACCACGGTGTGGGCTCAAGCTTAGTCACATGCCCCGTATGTACCGTGCTGCATCAACAATAGCACGACAGCAATAGTTTTACAAAGAGAAACATCGTATCTCAGCACACGGCCGTGCTGGCCAGTGCGGTAGCATTCTTGCGCACGCGACGCACGTCACTCAGAGCTTTAAAGGTCAGCGGTCATTTTGAAACGTAGATAAGAAAAGACGCTTACTGGTCCAAACAGTGATTTAGGCGTTTAAAGCGGTAATTCTGAAAAAAGAACTGCGTAATGAATGAAATCATTGAGATGTAGTCGAAATCATTCAGAGTGATTTGGTGTGCAGTTGTGCCTTGTAGAGTAACAGCTGAGATTTTACAGTGGTGAGGATTGGAACCAGGGGTCGCGATGTCTACAGCCAGGCGCGTAGCACCAAATATTGAGCCAGTACTGTGCTTCTTTATCAGCTTGTGCTTGTTACATATGGCAAATGTAGCTAATTGCTGGTTAGCTCGCTAGCTTACCTTACAACACATTTACTGTTCAGAGAGAAAATCAGTGAAACAACAGGCAGAAACTATAAAGAAAAATGCAATGTCATTGTTTATTTCTATAATAACAGACAATGTCAAAATTGGGAGCCAAAATAAATTTATTTCAGAGGCTTTTGGAGCGCCCCCATCCGGGAAGGGCCCTGCTTACTCAGATCCATCATTGAACAACCAGTGAAACTTCATATGTCTTCTGGGTTTTTATATGTATTATTTGTAATGGCAAAATATCAGTAATCTGAAAATCTGAAAGGAGTTTTCTTTGGGTACTGTTTTTTTCTTACAGAGCCCTTTTTTAATACTATCGTAAAACAACATCCCAAACAACCTTTTTGGGTAACAACTTTATATAAGATAGCTTTTAGAGGTATTAAATGATTCAGATGTCTGGTTACTATCACCACCATGGTGAACTGTTCTGACTCAGTTTCTCCAGAATGGCACATTTCACATCAGAACGCACTGAATGACTGTTTACATTAATTATGAAATTTGCCAAGAATGGTGGCATTGCCCTTAAACACTCTTTGGGTCTACCAGCTATTTCAACATTTTGCAAAGATCTTCTCCGCACTTCTGTTAAACTATATGTTTGAGTTCTATAGAATGCTAGCCATGAATTTAGCCATTTTGCTCTGGTTTATGTGACAAACATGGCCAATCAACACTGTAGCTAATTCTGCCCCTGGGAACACAGTGGGCTTCCATACACTGATCAGCCATAATATTAAAACCACCTTTTTTTCCTGCACTCAGTATCTATTTTATCAGCTTCACCTACCATATAGGTGCACTTTCTACAGTTCTACAGTTACAGACTTTAGTTTATCTGTTTCTCTGCATACTTCGTTAACCACCTTTCACTCTGTTTTTCAATGGTCAGGACCCTCATGGAACCGCCACAGAGCAGGTGTTATTTGGGTAGTGGATCATTCTCAGTACTGCAGTGACACTGGTGTGATGGTGGCGTGTTAGTGTGTGTTGCGCCGGTACAAGTGGATCAGACCCAGCAGTGCTGCTTTTAATGTTATGGCTGATTGGTGTAGATTATACTAACTGACAATACTGAACAACTGAATTCATGTGAAGATTCAGTCCTGAAATGCATCTGATTTGCTTTCAGATTCATGTGCAGCAGTGTCAGGTGTAACAGCAATTTCTTGGAGGAGGTGATGGTGGAAAACAAAGATGGCCAGAGCTGGAGCTCAGTTGACTGTTACGTGCACGAGAGGCAGCTGGTGCTCAGCCTGTGCCTGGATAAGCTGCAGGGCAGCCGGGCGCCCAGCCTCCATCGCTCTGTTCTCCTGGCCAACACCATGAGACACATCCAGAAGGAGATGACCCAAGAGAAAGAAGGCCCACCGGAAAATCTCTGCAGCAGACAAATATCCCAATCTCAGCTGGTCATGCCCCTTCATACACCTGAATCTCAGTTCCAGCCTCCTGATTGCATCCCCGCCTTGAGTGACATGGACCAAGGGGGTGTGGATCTTACCTGTTCCAGGTGTGCAGAGGAGGTGGAAATTGAGATGGATGTGTCCTTCTTTCCCTCTGGTTTTGTCACTTCTTCATCTTCCACTCCTTTCACGGACAAAGTCTTTACAGACAGCGGTCTGATTGGTCTAACGTCCCTTCTTGAGGCAGGGAACACTCAGGGCTATCTGACTGACTTGGCCTTAGATGATATCTTTGATGATATTGACACCTCCATGTATGACTCTTCAGAAATGTCCTCCACCATGACCTGTGTGTTCTGCAGTGTGAGCCATTTGTTCGCTGGAGATGAGGAAACCAAAGTTCTCCCAGATTGCCCCTCAGCGAGCTCTCTGCAGTGCAGCCCCACAGACCTAAATGACATTATGGAAGTGTTAGTGGGCTTGGTTTAATGAAATAACTCGACCACTTTACTGACCACCGAAGTGAAATCCAAAGGATCCAGCCATGGTGCAGATGAGTCAGAAACTCATGCAGATTATTATGCCACACCAACTTAAATGTTTGACAGAATTATAGAGAGAACTGTATCAGTTGAATAGTCACCGTCAAGGGTTAGTGCTGGATGTGTCTTGCTTGTTGAGCTGCACAAAGAAGAACGTGGGATTTTTTTAGAACAATGCATTTGTTGATACAGGTTCCTTGGATTTTCTAGGAAAACCTTTTAATTGGTATTTAACCTTTACAGTGTGTGGAAGTTCTTTGAACTTTTTGAAAGTTTATTCACACTTGTAAATTTCACGGAAATGATTCTTTAAAGACCCATCCATTGAAAGGTTCTTTTGGGAACCAAAAGAGGTTCTTTTATTACATATCTCCAAAGAACCCTTTTTGAAACCATTATTTCTGAGGGGGAATTCCACTGATTTTTCTAAATTTCTGCATGATTAAATGCATTAAACGATGTGAGATGCTACATTCTAGAGAAACTTACTGAGTGGTGGTGATAGGAACCAGACCTCCAGAGTGTTTAAAGCCACCTCTCAAAAAGCTGTTACATAAAATTGCTGCTTGAAGCCAAAGAGATTGGTTTACAGGAGTTTTGCAGTAAAGTTTTGGTCTTATATGTTTTTAAAACATCCATTTATGGTGGAGGAATACTTGGAGGATGTTTAAGGCAAAATGGTGCCCAAAGAATCCAGATTTTGTATTGTTTTACCTTGATCAAAATTGCATGTAAAAGCTCAGAATACGTGTATGTTCTCTGATTGTTTTGGATAGTAAACAAAATGGTTATATTTGTGTAGACATCATGACACCTGGGTCTTACCAGTTGTCCTTATCACCAGTCAAGTCTGAGTCAGTTTCACTACAATGCACCATTTCACTTCAGGTCATTTAGAATGACTTTGTTCACATCACAACAATTGAATTATGCAGAAATAAAACAAAACATTGGAATTCACCTTCAAGAGTGTACAGTCAAAATATATTATTAATGCATAATTTTGGATATACAATGAAGAGATATGTTTTCACATAGATTTTATATAATCTGTGATTTTAGATGTGATATTAATGACTTTAATACACAGCTTTTTATAGGTAGCATTTCTAGGCTTTTAATAATGTGGGATAATATATAGTATTATAACTTATAGGTTCTCCTACCTGTGCACGCTACCTCTTTGCTTAACGTTAACATATAGCCTCTTGTTAACGCTAAAGAGCAAGTTATCGTGATTGATCTAAGTGATTAACCCATGTGGAAAAAAAATATATGGACCTATATTTTTATATATTTCACATGCAAATGCATTCCAAACGCTAAAATGTCTTTCAGAATTGCCCTGTTAGTCAAATATATTTTAAAATACATTTATTTAAAATGTATGGGAAAATATTACACATAGAAATGTACTATAGAAAAATAAATATATGTAAATATATTTATCAAATACATTTGAAAATGATGCCATCACATGTATTGAAGCTTTTACATCACTGTTGTTGACCACTGAACCTTATGAGAGGATCCTGTCACCATGGCAGTCACTATTTCCTCAAAAAAACAACCCTTTCTGGGGCAGTGGCTTTCAGAGGAATGTTGACTGTACTGGTAGAAGCACTGCAAGTGATGTGATTAAAAAATGAAGTAAATGTTTTTATGTAACTTATAAGTTGTCTCTCTCTTTCTCGAGCCCTTGTAGCTCCTTTAAACTTACTACCCTGTTCTATAGATGCCTTTGAAAAATCGGCTTCAGTGTAATTCACTCTGACTGCTAGCTGTGCTGCTATGGAATGACAGGAGGCAAGGGAGAAGAAAAACGGGGCGAGAGAGAGAGAGAGGGAGAGAGAGAGAGAGAGAGAGAGAGAGACATGGGGGGTTGGGGTTGTTGGAAATAAGAGAGTGCATTGAGCTCTGCACTTATTAACTGTTTTATAGATTTATGAATCTTGTATATGTCAGGTATACACCTTTGCATATGTAAATTATGTGATTTTTGTTGGGTTCCTCCATTTTTATTTCTCATATGAATCACAGAGTAGATAAAGCATGATTTTTATGTATTTTAACAGCAATCAAGAACTGTTTACCTTTTCTACACATGGGAAACTGCAATGTACATCATGCTTGAGCAAACAAATTATTTTGCTTTACGTTATTATTTTATATAGGTTCAGAACAGTTTAGTGCAGTTTTTATGCAATACATTGTCACAAAGCAATTAAACTGCAAACTATGGAACAAAGACTCATACCATGTACCACGCTTATAATGTAGGCTGAGCAAGGAGTAAATGTGCCATTTACTATTTACAACAGCACCTACTGGAATATTATTAAATTTTTGAGTTTAAATAACAATAAATGTCCAAACAAACTACCGGTTTTGGTAATTTTAATTGAATTGGAATTAGATATGGTTAAGTGAATGTGTTTACCTTTCAAGTTTTGTCCAGAAGATGTTGCAAGTGAGAAACTGTAGCTTACAAACAAGTGCTTTTAATTTTCTGACAATTTCTGTTCAATAAATGTTTACGGCACACAAGTAACAAGGCTTTGAATTCTTTTTATTTTACATTTATTCTGCTTTTTGAAGAAAATTTCATCCACCTTAAAAGTTGTCCATATTATATACAGAATATTTCAAAATCTGCATCATGTTATTCATATCTTGCGAGCAGACTTAAGCAAACTTGCAAAATTGTAACATTCAGGTAGGTTTATTAATATAAACCAAGAGCCTTAATATATTGACCTACAATGTTAAGACTTAGTATAACTTATATAAATACATATCTTTGTTCCATAAATATTACATAAAGCCCAAGTAATTTTCAAGTAAGCAAATGCTTTTGCTTCTTCAGTTCTCTGTGACTCACTGTCCCCTGAAGTCTTCAGTCAACTTAGTAAAATTCTATATTATAAATTAATATTTTCAATAAATTCAGTGTTTTAATTTATTTAAATATTAAAGCACATACAGTGAAAACAAAGGAAACTTAGCATGTATGATAGTATAGAGTCCAGGCAGCACTGCAGAAGAAAAATGATAGATATATTTGTTAATATGAATGTGTTCTGTGTCTCTGGTTCATATTTTGATCCTTGATCCTAGCTCTCATTTCTTCTAGCAAATCACAGTAACAAATGGTATGATCTAAAAAATACACTGGACATCCAAATAGTGGTTTATGCGATAAAATAATAGATTCTATTATGTGATAATAGATATAATCGAGTCCAATATCTAATACTACATATTAGACTAGATTCGTTTTGAGATTAGCTAGTTAGCTAACACACTTACTTCAGAGGCTTACTGATTGATTGACTATGTAGGCCAGTGTTTCCCAACCGTGGTCCAGGAGATAACACTGTCCTACACATTTAAATTTTTTTTCCTGCTCCCAACACACTCGATCCTACTGTACAACTCATTAACAACCTCTTACTGTGTTGAAGAGGGTGTGTTAAAGCAGAAAAAACACTAAAATGTGCAGGACAGCCTGCCTCTGGGACCAGGGCTGGGAAACACTGATCTAGGGGGAGGGTTGGTGGAAGTTTTTGGTGACAAGCACATGATGGGAACCATCACATCCAATCAGATCCCACTATATTTAATTCCAAAGAAAACATTTCTAGTAAGCAGACATCTTTGATGAGCTGAGGGCTTCTGATACTGAAACTAGAAAGAGGATTACTAGACTAGACTAGAACTCACTAAAGCATATTACTAGCCAAAAGAAGCTCCTGGAGTACATACAGTCGGACTGCACTCCAGTCAATTCCAAACTAAGGCTACTTCCACACATTTGGGAATTTGTCATGGCTGAATCTGACCCTTGTGTTTCACTAAAATTAGTGTCGTGTTCTGTTCTGTTTATTGCTTCAGTCAGAGTTTGTAAGAGTCAAAGAGCTTTTTGTGGAAGTCTGGACCACATTTCTCTGTTAATAGTGATTCTTCATATAAATGTATAAAGTGGATGAACACATTTAAATCAGCACTCAGAAAATTCTCAGGTCAATGTAACAGCATGTTCCTTAAGTAGTTTGTAACAATATAAATGCAGTTCAACAAAGAAATCCATTACTGTGCAAGTAGTACTGTAAGTAGCTGTTTTTCTGTCTTTTTGTTTTGTCAGAGAGAAAGTCTTCCCTGAGCTGATATACTGTGAGCATGTTGCAGTGGGTGCATAGTGTGGTGTATTAAGTTCATTGTAGCAGGTCTTGCTTGTTCTGATGGGGCAGGAGTCTCAAACTGTACTGGTTGAGCCACTGGGGTGAGATCTGGTAGAGATATCCTGGTTTATTCTGACACCGAATCGGCGCCATTAGCTACAGACATAGAAACAGGCCAGAGGTTAGTGAAAGAGTTACAAATTCATTAACTTGCTTGAATTGATTTACTGCTTTGTGTCATGCCTTGCAACACCCCTTTATCCCCTTTACCCCCATCATTATAAAGTCATTATTTAATAAACCCTGATAAAATGCAATATGATAAAATGCACGAATGGTCAATAAGTAATTAAATGAGTATTAATAATAAAATAATTTTCAGCCAAGCAATGCAGTTTGTTCATTTCCAACGATTTTTCAATTTCTCTGCATAAGTCAATCATTAAGATGTAGTCAGTCATTCAGAGATGTTTGGTATGAAATGTGACATTGTAGAGAAACTTTGAGTCAGAATTGTTCACAGTGGTGGTGATAGGAACCAGGACATCTGCAGAGTTTGTCACTAAAAGTTACCTTACAGAAAGTCATTACATGAAATAGTAACAAATATTCTGCATAATACCTTAGATATTGCTTTATCATAGTTCTGCAAAAAAAAATACATTCATGGCCCAGAGACACATGCAGGGCATTGAATGGAAAAATTGCGCTACCACTATTGTATTCATATTATAATGTTTATTATCAACATTACACATAAAAACCTAGAACACAAGCATTGGTTCACTGGTCATTTTGGACAGTAAATCAAAACCTCAGGTTCCACCACATATCTGACTCTAAATTTCTCCACAATGCAGCACTTCACATTAAACCACTCTGAAAAACTTTGGTTACATCTCAACTGAATTATGCAGAAAAAAATTCACCTTTAATAGTAGGCCATGGGTGTCAAGCAACACATTTTTAATAGCTTGACACATTAATACAGAATTCAGTTGATATGTGCAGATAAATGAATTAGTATGGTTTCAAACATGGTTCAGCCAATTAAATCAGAACCAGAAATATCCTTTTTATAGCCAAACTTACATTTGAAGAGTTGAATTCCATGCTGTGTATCAGTGTGTAACAATTTTGAATATAAGAATTTTTTGAAAAGAACAATCACTGATGTGTAATAGAAAACACATTTTATTTCTCTGATAAAGGTGGCATTAATCAGATTTCTTATAGGCCTAAAGCACATCCAACAACAAATATCATAAAAAAAAAAAAAATACTTGAAAGTGGTCTATAATGCATTTTGAAGCAAAGCCCTTCCTGTCCTCTAGCCTTCAATTAGTGAAGGTCTTCATCCAGACTCACTGCTTTCATGCTCTCAAACAAAACACATTCCTACCTTAGTCTGGATGAGAGCAGCTGGAGAACTTTCAGGCTCCTCAAAACCCTGGTCAGGCAAATTAGTGTTCTGAAAACATAAGATAGCAGGTTATGCACTTTCTTGCATTTGCCTCTCATGAACGCTCTTGTGCCCTCCAGTGGACACGGAACAAAATCATTTTCTATTCAATCTTCCTCCTTCTAGGGAAAAATAACTTCATTTTGTCCCTTTAAAAACATTTACCCATAGTCTAAGCTTCCTGTTTACGAGGTCTGCCATGTTAATCAGCATCTCAAACATCAGATGCAATTGTCAAGATCAGTGAACTGCTGAACAAACAAGTACATTTGTCTGTACTTTACGACTGTAAGTGCTCTCTTTCTCTCCACTCACTTGTGAGGTGTTTATGTCTGAGTGTTTGAGTTGGAGAGTGTTGATCAGCTGCTTGTGGGAGTGTAAGCTGGGTTTAGGACCAGAGAGGCTCAGATACTCCGGCTTATACAACAGACGATGGCACAGGCTGGCAGCCTCTCTAGAAGGAGAGAGATAAAGAAAGAGAGAGAAATTAGGGATGCATTAATACGGGAATTGTGAGATGATGCCGATATTTTTCATGCACATATCTGCTGATGCTGATACATAAACATTTATAAAATGTAGAAATTGGGACTAGATCCACCTGAATTAGCATTACAGAGAAAAGAAAAGATACATTTTTTCAGGGTTAGAAATATGAATAAAATGCAGATATTTAAGCACAGTAGTGCAACATCACCTAAACACTCTGCTCTTCCTGAGTACAATAAATACATCATCAAATATCAGTGAATCTAAACATCTGCCTAACGCCGATAATTTTTTAAAGCAAATATCTGTCAATACTGATATGATTCTGATATAATCGAGCATCTCTAAGAGAAGTGGCACATATGTGTAGAGTGTAAAATAATTAGCAATAATAAAGAAAATCAAGCAGCTGTAATAAAAAAAAAAGAAACAGGTTTCCTAAACATATGTCCACATTAATCTGTGCAAAACAACATGCTGAACTCAAACCCAGAGGTCTGAGAGAAACAGGAGTGGAGCCAATAATACATTGTCTGTGTGCATGAACTCCAGCACACACACACACACACACACACACACACAGCCTCCACAAATCAACTTTAACATGTGCTTGAACATATGGCGGTGTGCACTGGCAGTGCCACCAGGCAGGTAAATGTCAGAGAGAATTAAGCATGAACGAACATCAAAGGAAGCACTGCCAGACACGGCACAACATGCATTTCATTTGTTGATTACTCACCGTCATAACAAAACTCTTTTTTATAGAGATTTATACAGCAAACTTCATATATAAATTGTTACTTATTTTAAAGTATTGTGTATTTTAAAACTGGGTCTATTCATCATGAATTGTTCACACAGTGTAAGGCAGTGGTCATCAGTTATGGTCCCATTTTTAAAATACGCATTACTTTAAAATAAGTAACAATTTATATATGAAGTTTGCTGTATAAAGCCGTTTAAAAAATGAGTTTTCAAAGCCTCATAACTCATGCTTTTGAAAATATAAGCTTCCCTTTACACCAAACCAGATCAGTTCTGGTCCTGAAGGTCCAGAAAATAATCTGGCGTAAATAATAGCATGAGTTATGAGGCTTTGATATGACAGCTACAATATATTTGAGATTTCCCTGCAGTTGTACCTTGATAGTGCTGCTGAATCAAGGGCTATGTGTGTCGAGTTGTGCAGTAGCTTGGACAGTGAAGGGATCTCCATTACAGCAGTATCTTTCACTGTCTCCTCCACATGGAAGCAACCATGAAACACAAACCAGGGGCTGACACTGTCGCCATTCTCCATCTGCACACACAACAGCTGAGATTAGATAAAAGATGATCTACTTGCAAAAGACATGGGTAAAGCCAAAAGAAAGTAAGTGAAAATGGTGAGTGATTAAATGATTAAAAGGTATGGAGAAAATGTGACTCTTAACAAGCATGCAAGACCTAGTAGCCTACGATCAGATAAAGCTTTTATATTAGAGAGAGAGGTGAAAATCAAGCTCCACTCTTGCTTCAGATCCGAAAAATCCACCTTGTCCATCCTTTCACTGTGAGAAGACAACACTGGATCTGAAAGGATGTGTAGCTGTCATGAAGCCATTACAGACAAAAGGAAAATGACATAAAAGAAGCTGCTGGTGTTCTCTGAAGAAATATTTGAAAGTAGACAGAATTTTATTTTGGCCAAAAAAATATTTATGATTGATTATATTCAATTATAACATTTGAAAGCTGATGTAGCTGAATCATCACTTTCAAATCATGCACTGATGCGTTTTCGAACCCCTAGCATTCAATATCCACAGAATTTTCTGTGTGAAATAGTGGCAAAATCATAACAGTGAAAGCGGCTCTTGTCTATACCTACAAAATCAACCTATGGTATAACTGACCGGACTTGTTTGCATGTTGTTGCCAAACAGGTTTCTCATCATGGTAGCGAAGTACACACTGAAAAAATTACCTTTTGTTTATGGTCAGAACTTCTTTCCTGAGGTGACAGAGGTGGAGATTCCGCCTTTTTGCTGAGGCTGCCATGAAAACTATTCCAGTCTCCAAAATTGCTGCTGTCCCCCTGATCCTCATTCCAGTGTATAGGGCTGTAGGTGGACCAGTCCGCAAAGCCCTCACAGCTGTGAAAGCCATCTTCACTGAGGCTGTCCAGCACAGCACACTCACTCATCACAGATAAGGTCCAATGCACCGTTCCAAACAGGTGAAAAATGCTGTTTTCCAGGTTCACGGTTGACCTCAAGCTTTTATTGCTTTAGATCAAAGCTTCTCATGGTGGATGGTTAGCTTGACGTAAATGCAGCTCTTCTCTGTTCACAGGCTAAAAGTGAGTTTGATGCTCTCATCACTGAGAAAAAGCAGGAAGTTCCCATTGTGTTTCAGCTGGGAGTCTGACAAAATACACTTCCTTCCACTGGCTGTGTGAACTTTTGCATCGCCTCTTTTGTTGTTAAGGTTGGATTTCCAGGAATACAAAACTGAAGAATCTGGAAAGTGTAAAGGGCATGATAGATTGGGTGACTGCTAATGTGTATTTTAATACCTCGTCGAATATTTTTGTGATAAACTCAGCATTTATAGTATGTCACAACATATAGTATGTGTCAGTATGAATATTAAAATTTAAACAGCGATTAAACGTTAAGTCAACCATAAAAAAAACTATAAATCAATAACTTGCTGAATAACTTTAACGGTGACTAGTAGATGAAAGTGTGTTAAAGCCGACAAATCATGCTCTTAAGAGCTAACGTTCAAACAAAGTCATGAACCTGTTACGTACAAAGTGAGCAAAGGGGGAATTTCTAACCAGCTAAAATTAAAACTAAGCGATAACAGCTTCTGAACTGACGAGACTGAGATTGGCTTCTTATTCGCCGGCTTCTTCTTCGAACACTCCGTTCCACCTTAAATGCCACGTTAGTTACATTCTTGCGCCTCAGGAGCCGTAAAGTAACTGCCGCACCATTTAAGGTAGACCGGAAAATTAGAAAAATAAGATGACGAATAAGAAGCCAACTTCAGTATCATAGTTTCAATCGATCTGTAATGGACGTTCATATGAAAATATAAGAGAGAAACTAAGAGTTATACTCACTTTTTGTGGTAGAGAACAGCCACAGGTGTCCGGTTTGGATGAAAAGTGAACATAGCGTCGCTTCCGCACTGCCGCTGCTCTGACGCACTGAGGGAGGAGGACACCGACTCCTCTACACACCCAGCACAGGCATGAGGAGGACACGAGAGAGCTTAGAGGCATCTGGATCCCAAACAGATTTCGTAAACAGACGGTTTGTGGCTGACGTGTGTCTGGGGTCTAATCTAGGCCTACAGTTCACTCAGGAGGAGCTGATAACGTCACTGGAGAATGTTCGGGATGCACGATTATATTGGAATCATATCGGCAGATGTTTGGATTTGATGACGTATTCATCGTACTCTGGTAAAGCACGACGTTTATGTGATGCTACTAAAATATGCATTTTATTCATTACTGAATGGGTACCCTGCAGCAATAAATGTTTTATTTCTCTGTGAAACTAATACAGATGGATCCAATTTGAGCATTTTATGAATGTTTCTACATCAGCATTAATAGGACATGTGCATGAATAATGGTTGATAACAGCATCGACCCACAACTCCATATCAACCCTTTATAATGTCGTAAGCATTACAGTGGGTGAGGAAGGTGTAGTTCATGGTAAAGGGGGCACTTTTATTATTCTGATTTCAACTGCTTAGTGTATTACTCTCAAACGTAATTAAATAATAAATTCAGATATTAAATAATAATAAATGTAGTTATTTTAGTGGACAATTGAACTCAACGGCATACAATCGCTAAATACCAGCAAAATGCTAACCAGTACAGCCCCTAAACCACCTTCTAAGCAACAAACTTTCTAAGGTTGTAAGCTACTTACGGTTTTATAGTGCATGGACAATTTCTATTTATATAATAATACCCATTTGTTTCCAAAAGTAAAATTCATACATGCTTTTTTGTGAAACACCACAAACGCCCACCGTTGTTTCCAGAATGGGGAGTCTTATGTAGTGGTTAATATAAGGGGCGTGCCTTAAGGTGGGTATTTGGCAGTGGGCGTGGTCGCGACTGGGCGTGTCTTGTAGGGTACCTTACATGTAGTAATGTACCTTCATGGTGGTAAACCTGGTAAATATAGACAGAGTAGATGAGGGTGGGCCTATTAAATGATGATAGTGTTCTGACGAATTGTCGAAAAGTCCTGTCGTAGGACATATTTATAGGTATATAAAACTGTAGGGATGATATTTTCATAAATCACCGTGTCAAAAATGCTACCCGCATTAAAACACAGGTAAGATATATTTTGATAGCCTAAATCACCTTATCATGGGGTAAGTAGTAACACTAAGCTGAGTCTGTACTTAATTAAACATTAAAAGCACAATAAAACGTCGACGTGAAGTTACTACGCTATGCTAATAATATGCGCATTCTCGGTAGGCCCGCTAGAGGAGCAGTGGCCCTGCCGTTCGCTCTGCCCAGTCTCTCCCCGTCAACAACCCTGTTTGACCTACACAGGTAAGAGATGCCCTTGGGTTTGTGGTCGGTCATGTAAACAGACACGGCAGCTTCAAGAATGAAGAAAGAGTGCGTTTAGAAGTCGGTACTCTGATCATTATGCAGAAAGACCTCTGTGCTGCTCGCTAGCTCATGCATGCAGGGAAATATTCCACCACACAATGACGAGCAGGATGAACTGCGGGCCAGATAGAGGGACCGACAGACAGCACGTTACTGTCTGTGCGCTACTACCGGGCGATCAGAGACCTCAAGCTGGAAACTAGAGGACATATAGGCTAACTGAGAGCAGAAAGTCCTCCTCTCCCCGTCGGACGCCTTAGTGTACGTCACCATCCACTACTCTCAGGAGTTTGCAGACTACCTGCTTAACAGGTTCCCTCAGGTAACGCTGACACAGACGGACAGCAGCTGGCCTGCAACTCGTCTCCCACGTGACGTTGTACGTCTGCACTGTTGGCGTACGGAGCTATAATGTCCACGTCGACCAAACCGGTGGACCCCGCTGTACGTGATACTCCAACACTGAAGAAGCCGGCAGGGCGATGCTGTTGAAGAAGCGCCAATATGTGGACACGCTGCTTATGTTTATGACCCATGCCCGCTGCAGAATGCAGCAGGCTCTACTGAACGGCCCCAGCCCCTGGAGGAAAGCGGTTGGGAAGAGCACGTACGACTTCCTAATCAATCAGTGAAACTCCCCAGACACTCGTGTTCCTGACCATGCACGCCATACCCGGACACATACCGTCTCATCATTTCCTGAACAGACTACATGTTCTTCCTGTTCCTACCTCTCTGAAACCTGTAGTGGACACACATAAGGGAGTACCTTTTTTCCCCAAATGTGTGAGAGAAAAGTACAGTGGAATGCAAATTGGAAGAGTATTAACCTGGTAGATATTGCTTATGTTCACATTAAAGTATCAAACTGTCTCTTACTTGAAAAAGTAAAAGTCAGTTCTCTACCATATGAGCCCTTTAAATGTTAAAGTAGATTACTGGTACTGTGTTATACATTAGGGTGAATCTAAGTAATATGGGTCATTAGTTCATATAGGAGAACAGTGTTGGGTAATGAAACACTTCTGTTATTTAATTTGTCTATTTACAGCATTTCCTTTACCTAATTTACAAGTAATATACTACTAACATCATCTGAAACTGGAGTAAACAAGTTCCTAATTAGCCACTTTCAGTCCAGTAATGCCTGAATCACTGCATTTTGGTTCAACATGGTCCAAACAAGCCAGTTGCACCTAACAATGTGTATGTTGTGTTAAATGCAACCAAAGTCCTATATTTCATAATCACTGCATTAAACCAGTGTCTACACAGGCAAAGAAATAATCCTAAGCTTGCTGCCTTTGTTGCAAGAGCATTAGTCTTATACAGAGAAAAATCTTTGCCATGGACAGAGAGACAAGTATGAAGTCACATTACTAGCAGTAAGCCACTACACTGCGGACATCTTAGTTATTAAAAGAGGAACTAACAAAGATGTGGACATTTACTCAAACCTGATGTCCTGGGATAAATGACAAAAAAGCGAACAAAGCAGAGTAGAAATTAAGAATCCCTTTATTACAGACAATGCTCAGGCAGGGTTTAGAATTACCTGAATGTTATAGGTTACAAGTACCAGACTAGTACTAAGAACAGATGTACAGGGTTTTACATTTTAGCATAATTTAAATCACCGTAACAGAGGCCAAGTCTATTTCCTTCTATATCCGACAACTGTAAACATGTACCTGTTTATACGTTACACCTACATGTCCTGAGAGTAGCCAGAGAGAAGTGAGAGGGGAGCTTTCCTTAGAGCATCAGAGGACTCCAGTGTGGTCCTGACTGGAGGTTAGAAATGGCAGGTGAGAATATGAGTTACAGCAATTAGTTTTAGTGCTTTTGTCATTCTAAGATGGATCAGATGCTAATTTGTAATGGGCACGGGTGAGGAGCTCTAGCTAGGTCTTTCCCTCTTAGTAACTGCGCCCGAATAAGGTGTAGAACTGAGCTGGTTCTTTGCCACTGACACACATCTGGCCTGGCTGGAGGGTCTTCAGGGGCTGGAAGGGAATGCACAGGCTCTTTGCTCCCGTTGAGGGTGCGCCTGGCTCCAGGTCCTGATCCCTGTGGTCAGGCAAAAGAAAAAGAAGTGTTAGTGTTAACAGGACCATGCACAATACTTTCTCTCTCTCTGACAGGGTAGTATTATATAATGTGCACATGGTTGAGAGTAAAAATCTGAAATTAAAACTGAAACAGTCTCTTACTTGGCTGTGGTCTTTTTGATCCAGTCCTCACACTCAATTTCTCCACAGAAGGGAATCTGCACAATCTGTGAAGTCAAAAATCGAAAATACAGTTAGTTGTTAATGCACATTGCTCTGTTTTGCCCACTGTTTCTTTTGAATCCACAGGTAAGATCATAGACACTGTATTAGTATTAATATACCTTTCCCTGGTCCAGCTCTTTCTGGAATTGCTCCATAGTATCTGCTGCCACCATGTGTTCTTTGAGATCAGCAGAAGCCCTGAAACAAGAGAGAGCTTTAAGGATGAAGTCCTGAGAAATGTCATAATGAATAAAAACTTACAACCTGAAAGACCCACTGCTTTTTCAGACTGCATGTTCTAATGATTCATTACATGTATTTGTATGCATGTGTACCGTTTGAACATATTATCCTGAATCTCTTCAAGCAGGAGTTTGATTCTATTCTCTGCATGAGCGTCAGGTAGAGTGATCTTTTCTCCTGTGTCTCTTCTCACTGCCACACATTGGCCCTGCTTCAGATCCTTAGGCCCAACCTCCAAGCGAACTGGCACGCCCTGAATTTAAGAGTGTTTAAAGCATTGCAGAATGAATCAGAGAAAAAAAAAGGGTAAAAAGAATGTCTAGACAGCATAACTGTGGATCATCTAAGCAGAAAATGTGCACCTTCAGCTCCCAGTGGTTGAACTTCCACCCAGGTGAGTAGTTGTCTCGAAGGTCAGCCTTCACCCGGACGTTAACCTTCTGCAGCCTGGAGAGATACTTGGAGCACTGAGCCAACAGCAGCTCCTTCTCAGCCTCAGGTAGAGTGGCTGTGATTCCACAGGGAATGATTATCACCTGAGAAAACAAAGATGAATAATTGAGGAGAAGCTCACGGTAGTTCATGGTCATGACTTTCAATAGTATTACTGAAGTTCAATAATACTGAGAAGAGCTACTTTGGTTGTGACTTTAGGTTGTACCTGAAGACAGGCTACCCTGGGTGGCAGCACCAGGCCCATGTTATCTCCGTGCACCATGGTCAGAACACCAATGGTGCGAGTGGTGAGGCCCCATGAGTTCTGATACACCAACTGCTTCTCACCAGGCTTCTTAGGATCTTCAAAGACTATTTCAAACATTTTGGAGAAGTTCTGGCCAAGGTGGTGTGATGTTGCACCCTGAGAGATCAACAGAAAAAAAGTGCATTTAATACATTACTATTGACGTGCAGGAATCTAAAATTATCTTATTTATCAGATTACATCATTTCTACCTTCCATGTACACTACAGGGTAGGAAACCATAAGAGAAAATATTTTTTACAGAGTAGTATTTTATTGCAGCCCTAAATCACATACACCTGACTCATGTCCAG